ATCGTTGCATAATCAAATTTGGGAGCCCAAGTAATGGAAGAAGATATGATTAGCAAGGTGAAGAACATAAATTTCCACAGTGGGCAAACAAGCCAGAAAAAAATCATAACGGGCAGGAAAACGGAATGACCTCAGAGACAAAAGCATCTGCAGTATTTGAATGAGTTAAGAGGAAGGGCCTGTCCTCGATCAGCAGAGCCTGGGCTCCAAAAATGTTCAGTGGCCCAGCCAGGAGCTCAGGTGGCAAAAGGGGAAGGGGAAATCTGACCAGATGAAAGGCTGTCGTCTCGGTGAAAGGTAGGGGTGGACAGACAATCGGTATATGAGCCAAAGGCACCAAGGTCACCACCAGAACACAGTGAGCCCTGCTGCCTTGATCTGCGCAAGGGTGGGCAGGAGTGAGAGCCCTTTGGTCACTGGGGTCCCAAAGGGAGCTGAGGGGCTCCCATGCTTTCTGCGCCCCTCTCCCCACCCTCACCCTTTTCTGCCCTCCTACCCTACGTTGGATCACCCAGCCAGGGAGTTCTCCTCCCAGGCTGAGCTTCTGTCTCCTCTTTGGCTAGAAGACCTTCCTCCTCTGACATTGCCGTCATCATCATCAACAACACAGATGAGCTTGGACTCTGTCAGATGTAAGGAATGCACCAGTGTGACAACAGCTACACATAGTCCTCCAGAGTGACTATGTAAAAAGGCTCACCCAACAATTGATTGGCATCAACGAATCAGGGAGTGAGGATGGACTGACCCTCAGAAGTGTCCAGTGGAATAACGCTTAGGTTAAGGACAGAACACAGAGGCCGTGGGCAGCCAGCAAGAACTCAGGAAGCTCACTCCTACAAACACAAGGGAATACATTCTGCCAAACTGAGCGAGCTTGGAAGCGGATTCTTCCCCAATAGAGCCTCCAGAAGAACATGCCACCTGGCCAACACCTTGACTACAGTCCTGTGAAACCTTGAGCTGAGGACGCAGCTAAGCTGCACCTGGACTCCTGCCTCCCAGGAAGTATGAGATAATGAGCGTGTGTTGTTGTGTTTGTGGTAATTTGTTACACAGCAATAGATAACAGTATAACTTCACAGGTGTTGGAAGCATTAAGTGAGATTCTTCTCATGAAGCCCTCGGCACGGGAGGCTCATACCAGGGCCTCAGTAATCGCGGCTATTGTAAGAATCACCATCACGTTTTGTGTGGTACAAGCCACCGGGAGGGGAATGTTGGTAAACTATTTTGTGGGGAAAGCCTCACAAGAAAGTAGAGCCCAAGGGGTGTTGTAAAGAAGAGCAAGGCTTCGAGAGTCAGCAAGAGCGTGGGTGGGAGGGGGAGAAGTGGCGTGGCAGCGAGACCCTGGAGGTAGAACCTACACGGCATGATAGGATGGATTCCTTCCTTCATTCCTATGTTTAAGGCAATTCCCAGGGGCTGCAGAAACAAAGTCCAATATGCAGAATATCTGTACTTAGGAAGCTCACTGGTATGTAGGGAAGTACACACACAGGACAATACGACATGTCGCCATGGCAAGAATGTGCTAGAAGCCTTGAGACCATGGAAAAGGAAGCGCTATACACATTCCTATACAATCGGTTTGAGTTGAATGGAGGATCTGTACCAGGGACAGGTGGGAGGCAGCTGAAGAGGGAGGGGAAGGTCACCCAGGTCCCCACTGGCCTATAGCATATCTTTGTGTGATTTAGAAAATGGGGTCTCCTCTGAGTGGACCAATTAGAAAAATCCATGCCTTTGGGTAGATGAAGCTGGAATGACACTAGAGTTCTCAAGTAGAAGGTGCCTTTGTGCAAAAGAAAGAACAGTACCTCTTCCCGTGAAGGGAGAGATCATATCCCGGGCCATAGGATTGAACTTGGTAAAAGGAGCATGGACCAGATTTCAGTTCCTACTTGCTCCATTCGGCCAGATGCCCTCACGAATGGCACATGCTGCATACCTGTGTGCCTCCCGGGCCAGAAGGACAAAGGCCCTGGCTCCAGAGGTCTGCCCCCTGCAGTCCCTCGTCGAAAGCCAACAGTGATCGCCCATCCATCCCCGACTCAGAAGCAGTCCTGCAGAGGTGCCTGACGGTTCTGCTTCTTACTCCAGCCAGATTCCAGGTCTGCAAATGAAGAGGTGGGGCCAGGTGCCCTTCAGGGTCCTTTCTGCTCCTATGGTCTGGCCTTCTGAATCTGCATGCTCTGGGCAGGTGTGAACCATGTGTTGGCACCCTCCCCAAGGTCCACATCAGCGGAAGCTCAAAGAACCTTTATTGACACAGGTGAAAAAGTCCAGATAATCTGGCCCTGTGCACCACTTGTGATGGAAAGGATAAAAACTTCTGCAGGGTAGAGAAAGGACTGGTGGATATCATTTTTTAAAGTATAAAATGTGGCTGGGCGTAGTGGCTCACACATATAATCCCAGCACTTTGGGAGACTGAGGCAGGTGGATCACCTGAGGTCAGAAGTTTGAGACTAGCCTGGCCAACATGGGGAAACCCCGTCTCTACTAAAAATACAAAAAGTTAGTCAGGCATAGTGGTGGGCACCGGTAATCCCACCTACTTGGGAGGCTGAGGTATGAGAATCACTTGAACCCGGGAGACAAAGGTCACGGTGAGCCGAGATTACATTGCTGCACCCCAGCCTGGGCGACAGAATGAGACTCTGTCTCAAAAAATAAAAGTAAAATAAAGTCTAAAATGTGAGAATCCACAGGATTTACTTCCAGGAAGCATCACAGGAATCTGTGGCAGCCTGGTTTGTTATTCCAGACTCACAGAGCCCAGGAGAAAGAAGGGCTCGATGAGAACGGACGCCATGCCCACTTATGAAACACTGGCTGCTTTTAACATCTGCAAGCACTCAGGCTAGTTTGGAAGGGGGCTGTCTCCCGGCCCCTACCTCCAACTCTTAACCCCCACTCAACCCACTTTCAGAGCCGTCTTTAGGCAAACTGCAAATGTGAGAGACTGATAAACACCTTTCTAGGTCTTGCCTCCCAGGGTGCTTTTCTACAATCAAAGCTTCAGGCTCCCAGAAAGAAATTCTGCCGGGGATAAAGCATTGTTAGAGGAAGCCTCTGTGGAAGGCAGGCAATCAGAGACTGGGTTAATTTTAATAATCCAGAGATGAATAACTAGTCTTAATTATTGATATTAACCTTGACAACCCCAAGACACCCTTGCAGTGACAGCACTGTAAAGAATTCATTCGTTTAACAAATGCATATCACGCAGACTCTCTTACAGGCTTCTGTGCTGGGCAGCAGCAAACACCAAGTTAGAAAAGACCAGGTCCCTGCCCTCCCGGCTGAAGGCCTGGGTTCCTATGGCACTCCATGGGTCTCAATAGTTGTGAAACAAAGCAGAGTTAGGTGAGTGATATCAGAGAGAGAAAACAAAGAAGTCTGAGGCCCCACGTGGGTTGACTAAGAAGGCTTCATGGAAAGAGGGCATTTGTGATAGGTCTTGAGAAGTTGGTGGCATTTCTGCAGGCTTGGAAGAGAAAGGAGGCCGTTCTAAGCCAAGGAGATAGTCTAGGCAAACACAATGCATCAGGGAAGCTTCATGTGTATGCAGGGAGCAGCGACACGCTGGCTGCATAGGGAATAAAACATCCCAATGGAGGGAGCTGCCAGAGAAGGCATAGCTAGAAAGACATTTGCAGTCAGTGCAGGGAGGTGTAACACCAGCTGAAGGAGATCAGTAGATAATGGGGAGCCACTAAAGGCTATAGAGAAGGGGATATGATCAGAGCTGGGTTTTTGGAAGACTGATCAGGCTAGCATATGGAGCTACAGTGAATAGCTAGGGAGGACATACTGAGGGCCTGAACTGATAGCACAACAGAAGTTTATAGGACAGAGTTGAGATCTGCACAAGCATATTTTCCAAGTTGTGAATCCAAGCTGGCCATGATTATGCAGCAAACAAGAAGTCCTCAGGCTGCTTCGTGATAGGCCTCTGTTTCCATTCACCAATGTTTTGGGTACCAGTAGCATCAGCACCAGACCTGGACTAAGGGATTCTGGGATTGACTCAAATAGTGGAAAGACCAGGAGAAGGGAATCATGAAGAAATGCTAAGCGCTGAAGCCAGAAGACGGAGGCTGGAGTCCAGGCCAGTAGCTGTGCAGCGCCTCCTTCTCCCCTCCGAGTCCAGCAGCGCCTTCTGCTTGCATGCCCGTAAGCATCGGGGAACTGGAGCATCAGGATCCACACGAAGGCCAAGCTTCGCCAGCCTCCATTAGGGGACAGACCTCTGCTCCTCTGTCTTCAGTACAAACTCAAGTCGTCTCCATCCAGGAGGACAGATTGCATTTCCTCTCAGGACCTCAGCCTGTCTCATTATAAAATGGAACTGCGCAAGGCCCCTTCCACCTCTTACACATCATGATTCTGTGAAAGAGAAGGAGAACACCTAGGCCTGTAAATCCATGCTTAAAAGGCAATATACGTGACCTGGGACACTTGTTCAAAACCGTGAAAAAAGAGATTGCTTGCAGTCATGGGGCCAGGCACGGTGGCTCACACCTGTAATCCCAGCACTTTGGGAGGCCAAGGTGGGCGAATCACGAGGTCAAGAGATCAAGACCATCCTTGGCAACATGGTGAACTCTGTCTCTACTAAAAAGACAAAAATTACCCAGATGTGTTGGCAGGAGCCTGTAGTCCCAACCAGTCAGAGGGCTGGGCAGGAGAATTGCTTGAACCCAGGAGGCAGAGGTTGCAGTGAGTCGAGATCGCGCCACTGCACTCCAGCCTAACAACACAGAGAGACTCCATCTAAAAAAAAAGAGAGAGAAAAAGATCACTTGCAGTCAAGGATACATGGAAGTATGAGCCAGATGATGATTAAAAGCCAGAGGACTAGGTGTCTCCTCAAGTGGGACGTAGAGCACTGAGAAGCGTACAAATCAGAAAGGTGGGAGCACGTCCTGCCAGGGCAGGGGGCCTGGGGATCTGTGGAGTGGGAGCTGGTCCAGAGTGTGGGTGACTGGAAGAGGGCTGGGGTGGCAGGGAGGGGATGCAGAAGGCACATGCCTGAGAAGTCAGCTGAAGACCTGGGTTCCCACGTGGCTGGTGCTTCCGTGTTTGCAGCTGGCCTTCTGGGTGTTCTGGCACACGTTTCTGAGACTAGACTGGGCTGATTTCAAGGAGATCGGTAGGAGGAGGAAATGCACAACCAGATTTTGCTAAGGAAAAAAGGAGATGTCCGTAGTGAGGGCTCTCTGCTCAGATTTCAGAGAAGGAGCCTCGGGGATGGGAGGATAAGGGCTCACCTTACAGGGACAGACTCTATGGCCTTCCCTGAGGCCTCTAAACTCCAGCCAGCCATGGAGAGCAGAAGGTTCATCTTTAATTGGTACCAGTTTTTCTGGCAAGCTCAATTTAAAGATGCAGCTCAGTTGCAATCAACAGAATAAGCCAACCAGAAAATCACTTGCTTCTTTTGGTGCAGTGAGGACCATCAGCAACCCCAAAGGCACCAGAACGTTTGCAGGCCTTCATCAGGGAAGAGTCTCTGCTCCTCTGTCCTCAGCATGGACTAAGGTAGTCTCCACCTCGGAGAGCACCTCCCAGTCCACCCATTCCCCACAGTACTCTTGGTAAGGCAACAGCTTTCCGAGCTGTCATTGAAAGACACTGGGCCGAAGTGAGAAGGCCTGGGCGCTAGTCTCGTGTCTGCTACTGCCTGCTGGATGGGCATGGGCAAGTCACTTCTCCTGGAGTTGCCGTTTTCTCTCCTCAAAAGGGAAGGGGAGCGGGGACTAAGCCGTGCTGCACCTAATTTACAGGGTGATTATGAAGCTAAAATAAGATAATGGATGTGAAAGCTGTTTTTGTACATTACAGGACATTGAGCAGATGCTCATCTCTCAGGGTAACGGTGATGATGGCAATGATGGTAATGGTGGCTGAGTTACTCTTTATGTGCAACGCCTGTAAATATCACACTGAGAGATGAATTCCTGGTTTTAATGGCCTAACTGTATCCACTTCATTCACCCCTGGGTTCTCACCCTGGCTCTGAGGGATTCATGTTTAGCTTTGTGAGAGAGTTGGAATGGAATGTCTCAGAGCACCCTTCTCCCTCTGCAGGGTCTAGCAGTCCCTCTTACATGTCCTCCTCTAAGCATCAGGGAATTGCAGCGTCGATACCCACATTGAGGTTAAGTTCTGTCTGGTTTCACCTGGAAGAAGGGAGCAGTTGGTGACCTTCAATGTCTTTGCAAGGTATCAGGTGCTAAAACCTAGAAAATGCTTTTAACACCCCAACTACCTACCTACTCTTACTCAAGCCAGAAAGAAAGGACTCAAAGACAGGGCTAGGTGGGTCACACCTCTATCTTGAGTATGACTTTGTGTGTTTATGTGTGTGTGTGTGTGTTTACACATATGGTGGGTAAACTTCCATGAATTGCAATTCTGGTTCTGAGAGTCTGTATTCTGCCTAACACTTACCTTTCTCCATAGAATATCCAACAGTCAAAAGATTATTTTAACTGTTACTATTCAAAATAATGTCCATTTATGCCTCTCTTAGGACATTATTTTGTAGAAAGGAAACTGAGGCAATGATAAAGTAAGTTGATAATGGTTACTGAGAGGATACGCTGGGCATGAGGGATCATAATCCCAAATCACCAACGTCTCAGACCTTTTCTTAACACACGGAGGGGCCAGTGCCCTTGTCTGAAGTGAGCTTACAGCCTGATCCTAGGTGCAGACGGCTGCTGTTTGCTGCAGAGTGACAGAGCAGAGGGAAGGTAGCTAGGTGGGTTCTTTAGCCAGTCTTAGACTCTTAGAATCTTAGAGCTGGAGGGATCACTGGGTTTCAAGGGACCTCCCTGTGTTTACCACCAAAAACCTTTCAAAAGCCATCCTTCATGCTGGCCCACATTTAGAACAATTTTGTATGAAGAAAACTAAATATGTTAAAAATTTATTTTCCTGTGATTTATTAAAGAAATATATGACTGCTGATAGGGGTTTCTAATGAACATGAGAGTCCCAGTTTATGGAATCTACACAATGCTAGTCAAAAGCAATGGAATTGGGCTCTTTAGCCCAGTCAGCCCCTTCGTTGTGAAATGTACATTTCCATCAGGCCATTTGAAATCACAGAAACCATTGCTATCTTTGAGGACTTCTGGTAGACTTGGGCCCAAAAGTTAGAGCTTCTGAACTAGACTGACTATCACCATTTTTCAGATGAGGAAAGTGGAGCCCAGAGGGATAAGTGGCTTGTCCACAGCCACACAGAGCATTGGTAGCAGGTCTTGGACTAGAAGCAGGTCTCGGACTAGAAGCAGGTCTCCCATTCTCTTCCCTGGCTCCTTTCTTCGGCACGTGGACACCCTGTTAGTTCTTACGCTGGAAAGCAGGAGAAGCACATAGGACCTTTTCACAAAGCCTCAATTGTCTGGACCTGCTGATGCTTTTACAGACCAGGCTGTTATAGTGAACCCCACGTTTCTCTTCAAAGAATCAGTATGTTCAGCTCTTTTATTCTTTAAATCTCTATTTTAAAGTTTAACTTCCTTGTAATTCCAGTAAACAAACTTCTCCACCGGTTCTTATCAGTAATTCACATCTGTTGTCTCCTGCTCCCACCATCCTGACCCATCCCTGTCACCTGATCACCCCTGGCTACCTGCTCTGACCTGCCCGCCCAAACACCCACCCTGTCACTCCAGCTCAGACCCCTGCTCTTTTTAAAACAGCCAGTTGGGATTAGTTTAGCTTGTGCGGTCTAACTCTAGCCAATAGGGGACGACACAGCAGTAGGGAAGACCCTCCGTCAGGCATAAGTACCCCATTCCCCCTTGTCCAAGCGTGCGACCGCCATTGTTCCATCTGTACACCGCACCCTTCTATAGAAGTAAACTGCCCTGCTGAGAGGACTTATCTTCGAGTGCTATTTCTTCTGCGGCATCTAAATTTTACTTATAACAAGACCTAAGCAGGAATGGGGAGTGACAGCTTATCACTCCTGAGGTGACTCAAGTTCCGAGGTGACTCATCCTGGCAGAATGAGCCCCGGCCAAAGGCACAGGGACATCCTAGAGCCTGCCGTCACTGTCTCTCCTCATCTCATGTTTAGCTAGAAAAGGCAAAAGCCAGTCCTTTTGTGAAATCAAACAGGCAAGTAACCCTCAGGACTCCCTTGGCTCTGGCTAGGGTTGCTGGACCCTACAGGGGCTTGTCACAGAGGAAACAGAACATTGTGGAATGATGGCACTGTGATATCGTTGATCTTTTTTCTTCCTCAGGGGAGTAGGTGATGGAAATGTCCTTTCTTTGTCATTGAAAGTTAAACTGCCTTTGGCTAAGCCCTGGCGTAACCCTGCTACTGTGTGGTAGGACACTGATACTCTAGTGTCTCCTCATTAGGTCTTAATTCTGACATTATACGTGCCCATGTTCCTTCTTAGTGCAGAGATTTGAGAAAACCAGAAGCTTTAAAAAGTCATGTATGTTTCAATTTGAGGCTCCCCAAGTCAAACTTCCAGGTAAATCCTCCTTTGTTGATAATACTACGTGCAGGCAGCAGCCCTCGTTCATTCCCTCAGTAAACATTGAGCGCTGCTACTAATCCAGGCTTTGTGTGAGGAACGGGGAATGAATGAGTGGGCAAGTGAGTGGTGAGTGAATGAATGAGCAAGTGCCACCCTCTGTCTTGGGCACACCTCCATTCCACCCTTTTCATTCCTGGTAACACTTGAAATTATTTGTTGAATGTCTGTTTCCCATTAGAACTTCAGCCCGTGAGTGCAAGGACTATTTCTGTCTCATGTATCACTCTGAGCCCAGCCCCAGGTACATTCATATTTGTTAAATGAAGGATAGTTGGTTGGATGAAAGGGTGGATTGGTAAATAAATGATCAAATAAACAAACAGATGAGAGATAGTGGGTTTCACCAAATATTTTTCATGTCCTTATTTATTCATTTCTACGTTTATTTTCACTCTCTTCAATTCATTTTTTTTATAGCTTGCATTATTCTAGAAAGGATTTGAGGCAACTTCATCAGAAGTAAATGTTTTAATTTGGGGTTCCAAAGAAAATATTTCAGAATGTGTCCCCAGATCTTAGTTCATCATAATTCGGAATTGGATAACATTTCCTGAGCATGTGTCCCAGGCAAGGTGGGCCATGGAAGGACCATCATGAATAATCACGCCCTCCAGCTGCTTTGAGTGTCAGGAGGAAAAACCACAGACAGGTGACAGCAGTTCATGGGGACTGAAGGGATTCCGCCAAGGAACACTACTGCAGTAGAAGCAAAGAGGGAGAAAGAACATTTCCTCTGACCATGTTTATTTTTTGCACGTCTTTATTGTTATGCTGGTCATTCAGCGAGCACTTGATATTTTTCCATGAGATTTTATTAACATAGGGGAAATTAGGTGCCACTAAGACAAAGACTTCTTTTCTTGTTGTCTATGCAAACTACCTACTTCAGTTGCCCATTTTGCTAGAAGTCAGTAGGGCAGAAATGAACATATTTCGAGAATTATTTTGACTCCTTTTTATCGTAAACCATAGTAAGCACCAATAACGTGTCAAGCCATGGGCTAGGTGCAGGGTGGTGTCGAAGACATCTCAGTCTAGGGTAGACAAAGAGATGACCATAACACAGTGTGGTAAGCGTAGTGACAGAGGTCAACGCCTGAGGTGCTGTGGGGGGAAGGAAGAGTATGCCTAACTTGGACCGGGGTTTCAAGGAAGCTTCTTTAAAAACCAGTGGGACTTAGCCGAGAGAAGGTGGTGGGAAGAATGTTCCAGATATACAGAACCCTCTAGAACCCTCTAGATAATGCCTCAGCGACATGACAGGGCACAGCATGTTTGGAAAACCATGAGTCATTCCATTTGGCTTTGGCATGGAACGTGCGGGATTAGGGAGAAAAGCCAGAGAGGCAGCCACGTGCTAGACCATGAATGACTTCATGAGTTGTACAAAGAAGTTCAAGTTTTACTTCAAATGCAACAGGGAAGCAGACGCTACAGGATTCTTAAGCAGGAGAGTGACACGATCAAATGCGCATTCGAGAGAGATCTCCGGCAAGATAGAAGGAGTGGCTGAGGAAGGGAAACGCTGGTGGCAGGGAGATGGGAGTCTGTTACGCTGCAGCGGGAAGATGTCAGACCTGGATTATGACAGTGGGAATGGGGAGGATGAATGGATTCAGTCTGACTGCAGAAATATCTGTGAAAACCCTAACTACTCAAGAAGGAAGCCAGCCATGGGCCTTCTGGTTTTTCATTGAAAGGGCTCTTTCCCAGTATCTGCATTTCATCAGTCTTTGCTGCTAGAATCTAATTCATTTCACAGGGTTTGAGAACTCTCTCACAGATGCAAGGAAAAAATCCCACCTCTAAGGATGACTTCAAGCAAATCAAAGCTTTTTCTTTTAAGTGCATCCATCAAAAGCCGAACCTTTTCACCTCAGGCTTTTAGCAGGAAGAATTTTCTCTGAATTTTGTTAATCTGCAGCGGTAAGGTGATGGCAATTTTGCAGCTCAGATCTACTTGAAATTGGTCCTTCAAAGAGCCAGGGATCCTGGTCGCTGGCCTAAAACTACACTCAGTGGTTCTCAAGTCTGCTGTATCTGGGCCACCTGGGGGGCATTTAACACCCTCAGAGGGCAGGCCACACCCCCAGTGAAGCACTTCCGAGAGCGCCTCTGTGGCTCAGTGTTTGTTAAAACTCCCAGGTGGGTGGGGCACAGTGGTTCCTGTCTGTAATCCCAGCACTTTGGGAGGCCAAGGCGGGGGATCACCTGAGGTCAGGAGTTCGAGACCAGCCTGGCCAACATGGCAAAGCCCCGTCTCTACTAAAAATACAAAAATTAGCCGGGGGGGTGGGGACGGGGATGGTGGCATGTGCCTGTAATTTCAGCTATTCAGGAGGCTGAGGCAGGAGAATCGCTTGAACCCGGGAGGCAGAGGTTGCAGTGAGCTGAGATCCCACCACTGCACTCCAGCCTGGGTGACAGAGTGAGACTCCATCTCAAAACAAAACAAAACAAAAACTTACAACAAAAAAACCTCCCAGGTGATTCCTGGTGCAGCAAGCTTGAGAACTACTGAAAGAGAGGAGAATGCTAACTCCCGTTCCCCACCCACCACTCAAAACCAATTTACTACAGCTTTTGGGAGAGGTAAACTGAGGCCATGAGAAAGAAGGCTCAGTTCTCTGACTCCCTAAAACCATGAGTTGATTTAAAATTTCCTAAGAAATTTAATCTTCCTAAAATTTTCAGGAAGATAAAAACTTTACATAACCGAATTACCTGAAAGCAGAATAAGAAGAAATTTGAAAGATCCTACAGTCCATTTCTCTGACCCTAGCTAGCCTACGTGCACTCAAGCAGCCTGTCTCAGATACACTCCGGCCTCTGCTAATCTGGAGACAATCCCCAGCCAGGAAGGAGGAGTCCAGGGCAATCTGCAGCCTTCCCCACCAGGGCCTTCTCACTGTTTCCCCAGGTGAGCCTGGAGCCTCTCAACGTTTTCAACACGAGTGTTTCAATGGCAGGAACAAAGACCCCAAACCTGGGCAGAGCCTGAAAGAGCCCATAGATTTGAGCTCTGTTCTCATCCTAAACAATTATGCTTAACTTGTTCTCACTTCCTTCATATATCAATGTTGATTTTAATGTAAAGCTAACGTCTATGAAAAACCAAACAAATTGCACCTCAACAAGATGGTCCATATTTATTTCTGTGGCTTCTAGCACCCACTGATGCCCTGGTGTACACCCTGGAGATAATGATGATGGTGATGGTGACGGTGATGGAAAGTATCATGAACGTAGCCTGGGCTGAGATGCACGTGTGTAGTAGAAAGTGCGTGGGATTTGGAACCAGGAAGTCCTGGGTTTGAATGCTAGCTGTGGCATTTCCAAATTGGCCTTGGGAAATCTGCTTAACATTTTGGAGATTGTTTATTTGTAAAATTGGACGGTGATCTCCAATTCAAGATTATTATAAGGATTAGATATATTCTAGATATCTGGCAGCTGATGGACAATAAATACTAGAGACTACTGTGACAGAATTCTCTAATATCTGCTAAAACACCTTTTCCTATAAGATGGAGATCAGGCAGACAATGTTCTCTGCTTCACATGGGTGACCCTCTCAAATAGAATCCTTCCTTGGGCTCTAAGTCCCCAGAGTACGGCCCAGCTGAGGGCCTGGTCCATCCAGGGAACTTCTCTTAGATAAGCACACTATAAAATCAGCTCTAACATGGCTGGTGCATAGGGTGGTCCAACAATCAAGCATATTGAATGATGGTCACTAAAAGGAACATGTACAATGTCTAGTTTTCCTGTGACACTGTGAGAGTGCACATTGAGGGTGAGGTCCAGCGTGAAGACAACTGGTAACTGAATCCACTACCCTGGTGGACACACCATGGGCACTTGGGTCAGAAGCCCTGGGTACCCAGTTCCTCCTCTGCAGCTCTTGGTCTGCATCCTCTTCTACTACTAAGTACCAGGAGCACTCTGGAAAACAGAGTCCGGTACGGGAGGGAGCGGCTGGCATTTTTGGCTGCTCTCATGCTGCCCAGGTTTTTCCTATCTCAAGGTCTCTTCTCTGCAGAGTGCAGATGCCTGGGGAGCAAAGGCAGGGTCTCTCTGGTTTAAGAAGGAGAGGAGCATAACCCTGAACAGCCGCCATTCACCTCAGCTGCCCTGCCAGAGCCTAGGAGAACCTGGGGAGGCTGTGGGGTGGCTGTTCAAGGCATGGCAAAGGAGGGGGCCACATGCATGTGAAACGTTTAGGACCACACGGTTGCATGCTCCCAGGGGTGTTGCACATGGCTGAGATCCTGTTCACCACAGACACCCTGGGGTCTCAGTGACAGATAGAGCTAAAATCTTTCAAGACTTCCAAGGAGAAGGGGGAAGGAAGAGGTCATTGCCTCTCCCACTCCTGCCTGAGCTATAGTTATATGACTATATAACTATATATATATATCGATATCTATATAAGGATATATAGAATGGATTCCAGTCCCACTTCCACACGATGGTAGCTGTGTGGCCTTGGGCAAGGTACTCAATCTTTCTGTTCCTTTTGTTCCTCAGGTATAAGATGGTATTGATCTTACCAGCAACCTCAGGGGATTGGTGGGGTTCAGAGAAAGTCCTTGTAAAGCCCTTCACACTGCAGGCCACAGGCTGGCCTGCAGGAAGCGTTTACCCAAGGCTAGTCATGTGTGTGGGGTTCCCCTGACCTGGAACCCTTGCCCCTGTCTCCCAGCAAACTCTTCCTCAGCTTTCAGACTTCAAGCAAAATCTCCTCTTTTGTGATCTGCTTCATGGCTCCTGCAGAAATGTCCCACTCTTTAAGTCCCCAGAGCCCTCTATCACCATTCCTTCAGTAAGTGTTGTCTGAGTAGAAGCTGGGTACCAGTGACTGGGCGAAATGCTATGGGGAAAAAAAAGGTTAAAATAAAAATCATCCTTTCCCTCAAGGAGATTATACTCTGGTGGGGAAAGAGGCACAAAACAATTACAATCCATCGGAAAATTGCCACAGTGGAGTTGCACACGTGGCAGTGCTGGTGAGGAAAGGCACCATGAGAGCGCTGATCATTTGCTTCTGGTCTTTTGTCCACAGGTCTGTTTTCCTGGCTAGACTTTGAGCTGCTCAAGAGTGGTAGCATTTGTCTTTATGTCCTTCACTGTGCTTAGCACCATGCTATGTTCAGTAAATAGGTGTTACCCATAAACGCAAGAACAAACAAACCAACAAATGATATGTCACAGCAACGATGAGGTTTCTGGTACATCTGCAGGCCCTGAGGCCCAGGCTCTGTTTTAGGGTGATGCATCTTTACTGGAGACCCATTCTGCACCCCAGCAGATTTTTTGAGCTTTCTACAGCCGCTCCTGACTATACCGTGAGTCATGTGTCTTAGTCTCACCTTCCTCTTCTGTCCGGGTGATAGTGATCATCATCGCTGCTCCGTCTAACTCATGGCAGTGTTGGGAGGTTCAAATAGCGTTAACTGTGGAGCGTGTCCAGGTTCTTGGCGTCTTGAACAAAGAATTGGACAAAAAGTAAGAAAGGGAAGAATGAAGGATATTGTTGAAAATGCAAGCACACCCCACAGTGTGGGAGCAGGCCTGAGCGCAGGGGCTCAAAGGCCGTGTGACAGAGTTCTTGTGAGTTTGAATACCCTCTACTTGGGGTATGCCCTATGTAAATGAAGTCATTTACTTGGTGTATGCCCTATGGAGAGGGTACCTATGTTTCCTGCCTGCAGATCCTATTTTCCTGCCTCCATAGGATTCACTGATTCAACAATATTCTCTGAGGGTAGCATTTTACTTTCCCCACGTAGCACAGGTCTCACCAGGGAAGGCAAAGTCTGAGGAATGCTGGATCCAGATGAAAAGGCAGGGTGATTTTAAAGGAAAGATAATTCACTGACAAGGCTGGAATGTTACTTCCCCAGACATGACCAGTGCCACCAAGAAGGCCTTGGGTCTCTACCCAGGAGTCCGTGCTTCCTTCTTCCGGCTGAAGCCACTCGTCAGCATGAACCTGATAGCCTGTTGTAGGTCAGCTCCTAAGATGTGAATATAGGGAAGGGCCTAATTGGGAGTTCTTTCCTAAGTCTGTTTCCTCTTTTTTGTCTTTATTTTTCAGGAAGAGATAGAGAAGAAAAAGAAGGAGGAGGAGAGAAAAGAAGATAGGAAGGGAGGGAGGGAGGGAAGGAATAATTGTTGTGTCTAAGAGAATCAGTCATCAACAGAGCAACAAATACTAAGTGTCCATAAGTGATGGGCATTGGGCTGAATTCCAGGGGAGGGAGCGAAGGAGTGGGGACGATGGGCGGGAAATGAATGCGACACCACCACTTTCAGTAAGCTCACTTTAATTTAGAGGAAGACAAGACATAAAAATACATACCTCTCCTGTGAGAGAGACGGAGCTGCTTTATCCACACCTAGCTTCTTATTTATACGGTGCTTTGTGCCAGAAAGTACTCATACATAAAACCTAACAAGGGAACATAATTTAAAATAAGAAATAAAAGGAAAACTTAAGGGCATAAAAATGGGGCCAGGAATGAGACTAAACTACGAGAACTGTAAATATACATGTGATGAGGGTGAACCCCAACTTTGACTCCCAGCTTTCTAACAGCTTCCAGGAAAGGGAAGCCTGGGAAAAGGCCCAGTTCCTGGTGTCCATAAAACAGAAATTGACCAGTTGCTCAGGAGCACTTCAGGCACCTCTCTTGAGGGCCCTCATTGAGAGAGTGCTGCGTGATGAAATGAGCCGTGTCCCCCAACGTCTCTCAACAAGGATCCTCACAGGCAATGTCTTACGATGCCTTTCAGTGTAGGTATGTGGCTCGCCCTCTCCCCACCCCACTGCAGGGGTCGAGCACAGAGTACGGTGTGGCATCACATCAGATTAGGACACTAAGCATCTTTTTTTTTTTTTTTTTTTTTTGAGTCAGAATCTCCCTCTGTCACCCAGGCTGGGGTGCAGTGGCACAATCTCAGCTCACTGCAACTTCTGCCTCCTGGATTCAAGTGGTTCTCCTGCTTCAGCCCCTTGAGTAGCTGGAATGACAGATGTACGCCACCATACTCGGCTATTCTTTGTATTTTTAGTAGAGGTGGAGTTTTGCCATGTTGGCCAGGCTGGTCTTGAACTCCTGGCCTCAAGTGATCCACTCGCCTTGGCCTCCCAAAGTTTTGGGATTACCGGTATGCGTCACCACGTCTGGCCGGGGCACTGAGCATCATGAATGGGAGAGATGCTGCCTAGCTCAGAGAAAGAGGGAAGCGGTCA